ATCAATGTTCAGAAGACATTAGACTATGTTAATGAAGACCAACCAGAACAAACTTATTTGAACTTTGTTGATAGTCATAACAGGGTTATTTACAAAAATGAGTCAATAACTCCTAAAGGAAAACTCAACACTGCATGAAATTAAGTAAGCACATGCAACATATATGATATTTAAAAAGCATGAAAAATTTAACAGAGATTGGACAATAGATGGCGATACAACAGTTTAAACATTTAAAAATGCTATTTCTTTATGGTAAATTACCATATATTTCTTAAAATGATCTTGCTTTTTCTCTGCTTTTGGTGCTTATAGGCTTGCACAATATTAAGTAATATCTTTTTACTCATGTCCTTAAAGGCCCTAATGTGCTTGAACCCCTGATAATCGCTGCTTGCAGCTATATTTATAAATCTTTTGAAAAATGACTACAAAAAAATGAAACGCTACTTTAACAAGATCATGGATGATGATGATGATGGTTCCTGCATCTTATTGAATTCTAATTTATTATTTATTTATTTTTAAAAAATTACAAAATAATAAACTAACCAACATGAGCATTTGAAACATTAATATGAATGTGCATATTGTTACTAAAGGGCTAATCTCAGCTGTCATACAATAGTAGAGTTATTGTGAAGGGGCGTGGCTAGTTCAATAAACATCCATAGCAACAACCTATGTATAATTAGCATATATAATTAGTTACCCAGAATGCCCTAGTCATACAGAACAGATGACATGTAACTACAAACTCAAATACTGTAAATAATGTAATTAGCATGTAGCTGCTGTAGAAAATATATTGAAACCTAACATCTGAATGAAGAAGATGAAGGAGAAACAGGAGCATTTCTACTTCAGGAATAGAGCTGTGTGTGTGTGTGTGTGTGTGTGTGTTATATAGATAGAAAGTTTTGTTTTTTTTTCTCCGATGTGTCTCACAGTTGCATCACCAGCTCCATCTCCATTTTCACTGCAGGTGTTTGAAGGAATCTCCGCTTTAGAAGTTTCCAGAACAATCCAGATGACAGATGTTCTGTAACTCCTGATTGGATGACAAACCCAGGCTCCTCCCACACCAGTCACAGGGTAATTAACACCTCCACCTGTTCCCTGTTGGCTGACAGCACATATTTAGCTTGTGTTCTGTTTCTGTGTGCTCAAGACACATCATATGGGTTTAACTCGGATTTTAGCAGTGAATCAGAGACAGGCTAGCTTTACGCTAATCTGCGTTTTTTTCCGAAGCCGTGCGAAGTTAGAGAAAATCAAATCTTTTTACTAGAGTCACTAGAGTCAGAGTGTTTATATACATACATATATATATATTTGTAAGGAGGTGGATTCTCATGTCAAGGAAAAGCATGAGTTACCAGGTTGGGAGAAAATAAGTAGGTTCTGATGTCTTGGAAAAAGGTGGATTGCCATGTTGAAAGATAATTAGTGGGTTCACCTGTTGGGAAAAATGGGTTGCCATGTCAAGGCAACAGTGGTTTGGGGAAATAAGTGCAGTCACTTGCCAACTAAATAAGTGGGTTGCGATGTTGAAAAAAAAAAAAAAGGTTAGCCATTTTAGGCAGTTTAAAAGTGAGTTCATATTTTGTGGAAAAAGTGGATCCCAGAGTGAGGAAAAAGTTAGAAGCCATATTGAAAAAAACAGGGTTGCCATGTTGAGTGGAAAGAAGTTGGATTCTATTCCGAGAGGAAAAAGTGTTGTCATGTTGGGTGGAAAATCATAAGTGGATCCCCATGTTGCCATGTTGAGGGGATAAATTGAGGTCACACGCCAAAGTTGTTTTGTTAGAAGGAAATAAATAGGTTGCCAAGTTGGAACGAAATAAGCCGTACCCATACTGGGGAAAATTAGTGGGTTTCTATTTCATGGAAAAGTGGCTCCCCATGTTATGTAACGTGGGTTGCCATGATGGGAAAAATGAGTTGCCATGTTAGAGAGCAAATAATTGGGATTCTCTATCTTCAAGCTTGTTGCCATGTTGAGAGGAAGTAATAGGGTTGCATGCCAAGTAAATAAGTGGGTTGCCATGTTAGGAAGAAAATTATTGGGTTCCTATTTTATGGAAAAATGGCTCTTCATCTATTCATGTTCATTTTCAGTAACCACTTTATCATGAGCAGCGTTGCAGTGGTTCTGGAGGCAATCCTGGCAACACTGGACACAAGGCAGGTCATGGAAAAAGTGGGTTGCCATGTGGGGTGAAATAAATGTGAACTAATTTCCTAGAAAATGAAGTAGTAGGTTGCAGTGTTGGGTGAAAAACACAGTGCCCCATATAAGGGACAGTGTGTTGCCCTCGGGGTTCGAATCCCAAAAATACTACACTTATCTGTAACTGAGCGTCCTAGAGGACATAACTATCCTGCTCTGTGGATGGGACAGACATCTGCTTCCATGTTTGTCACTAGCCAGTCGTGGGTCTGTTCACATTAGTGATCTCCTCCAAACATGTTTAGCAAACAAGAGCAACTTCCTTTACTATTTGTAAACGTTCAACTGTCATGTCAGCTTGTTAACGAGCTAGCGTTCTGACAGAATACACTCACAGTGTGAAAATGACTCCATCCGACGCTGTATGATTTAATCCGATGCAGATTCTCGTGAATTTTTGACATATGTGACACTGTTTTGGAAAAACGTCCAAACAGGACGAAAGCAGATCTGCCCCATGTGTGCTAATTTGTGATGTACACAGTGTCTATGTCGCTAGAACTTCAGTGTGTCTGTCACATCTGCTCCAGTTTGCTGGGCTCTGGATTCTAATAGCCACCACAGGAGGAGAAAGCTGTGTGTGTGTGTGTGTGTGTGTGTGTGTGTTGGCCATGGAGGTGTTAGAGGATGTGTTATGAGGCAAATTGGTTGCACACTCCCTTTCTGTTTGGGCAGCTACTCACCGCTAAGCACAGCTGGTAAAATGTCAGATGTTTTTTTTTTCATCTCTTACAATTTTTCCTCTCTCACTCTCATTTCTTTAAACATTTCATCCACAGACATCCTCCATCACCTCCTGCCGTGATGCTGCTGCATTCGCCCCCTGCAGTTCCAGACCCTGTTCCCTCCTGCAGTGATGTATGTACTTTTTTTTTTTTTTAAGACGAGCATCGATCCATTTTTTATTCCACTTAATATTTGCTATATACACTCTCGTACTATAGTGTGAGCTAAACACCAGTTAATTTAACACTAATACAAAATGTTACTTTAACAGGTTATGTAAACACATAAACACATCAGTAACCTATTACTTGTTTACTAAACTGTTGTCAAAGAATATATTTTATTTAAATATTCATTGTTGTAAGAGGCCACACCTTCTTTACTGAGACTGACACAGAAGCCACACCTCCTTCTCTGTGACTGACCCAGAGGCCACGCCTTCTTTACCATGACAGACACAGAGGTCACACATTCTTCACTGAGACTGACACAGAGGTCACGCCTTCTTTACCGAGACTGACACAGAGGCCACGCCTTCTTTACCAAGACTGACACAGAGGCCACTCCTTCTTTACTGGGATAGACAGAGAGGCCACACATTCTTCACTGAGACTAACACAGGAGACCACGCCTGCTTTACCGAGACTGATGCAGAGGCCACGCCTTCTTTACTGAGACTGACACAGAGGTCACGCCTTCATCACCGAGACAGCCACAGAGGACACGCCTTCTTTACCAAGACTGACACAGAGGTCATGCCTTCTTCACTGAGACTGACACAGAAGCCACTCCTTCTTCACAGAGAGTGACACCTTCTTCACCGAGACTGACACAGAGGCCACGCCTTCTTCACCGAGACTGACACAGAGGCCACGCCTTCTTCACCGAGACTGACACAGAGGCCACGCCTCCTTTACTAAGACGGAGGCCGCACCTTCTTAAAGGAGGCCACACCTCCACCACTGGGACTGAAATGTACAAAGGCGCTGCTTTCTTCACTAGGACATCTTGGTTGGGTGGCCACACCTCCTCCATTGGGACTGATGGAAACCGAGGCCACACCTCCTTCACTGAGGCCACACGTCCCTCATTGGCACTGGAAGGCAAAGAGGGCATGTCTTCCTCACTGAAACAGGGCCAGAAGCCACACCTCCTTCACCAAAAAATGACGCATAGAGACCACACCTCCTTCACCAAAAAATGACGCATAGAGACCACACCTCCTTCACCAAAAAATGATACATTGGAGCCACACCTCCTTCACTAAAAATGACACACAGAGGACAATTTATTCCAGAGTTTATTTCTGACTTTATTCCGCAGTTTATTCCGGAGTGTACACTGGCAGTTCCTGAGCAGCTGCTCATAAATCCGAGGTCGCAGGAATGTGCAGGATTTCTCAGTAATCAGGAAACCTCTGTGTCCTCCATCCTGCTGCTGCAGCTTAATGACTGTCTGAGTCCAGTGTGTTAACAATCACCTGTATACACACACACACACACACACACACACACACAAACACACACCTGTACCCACACAGTTCGGTGACCCAGGGTGCTAATTTCTATCTTCTCAGACAAGCCTGCTGATCTCTGCAGTGTGACTGACAGGCTGGTCAGTGTCCTACATGGCCACACACACACACACACACACACACACAGAACCCCTTTGTTCTAAGAGTATGTGTATTAGCTGGGTAAGTGTGCGGTACAAGCTCCAAATTATTGCTCATTATTTTCTAGAACATGACAGGAGTTGAAAATTCTTGGTACTTAGGGGTTTTCACGGGTCCTTTAAGCATTCTTAACCTCCCCAAATGGTTCTACTTGGTTCTCCCCAATCTTTACAATTGAAGGATACGTAATGATTCAGTGTATCCTAAAGGGTTCTTTAGTTTGTACCTCTTGGGCAAATGCTCGAAGTGTCATTATTTTCTTCTTAATACTTAGAACCTGTCAGGAGTATAACATTTAGCTCATGGTTCTTGGTACACTGTTTAATAAAAAAATTTCCAAGGGTTCCTTAAGAGTTCATTGGAGGGTCTCTGGAGGATTAGTGGTCAGGCCACGGCACTCTCGCCCGCATGGCCCGGGTTCGATTCCCAGCCAGGGAACCTACCCCAGCCACTGGGGTTGTACGTGACAGTGCATTCCCAGTTCTGGTACCAAGCCTGGATAAAATTGGAGAGGGTTGTATCTGGAAGAGCATCTAGCGTAAAAACTGATCAAATCAAATATACGGACCAATAATCTGCTGTGTTGACCCCTAACGGGAGCAGCTGAAAGAAGAAGAACAACAGCTTTAAGAGTTCTTTGGATAATTAAGGGTTGTTAACCTCCTGAAACGGCTGCACTTGGTCCAAGACTTGGTCTTGATGGGTTCTCTATGATGGACACTTGGGAAAAAAAAACACTTCAGGGTTCTGAATTTTCTAAGAGTGTGTACTTTAAAAGGTTCTCCAGTTTATGCCTCTTAAGTGTGTTTAACATGTATCTTAACATGTATCTTCTTGGTACATAGGGAGAGGGAACCCTTAAAGGCTTTATGTAGAACCCTACACCTGATTATTTCCCCATGAAGAACAACCAAAGAACCGGTATAAGTGTCCTAAATTCTCTAAAAGTGTACTCTAAAGGGTTCTTCAGTTTGTACCTCCCTAAAACGCTACAACAATGTGTTTTCTTATAAGAAAGAGTTCCAACCAGAGCCCTTTTTGGGTTCTAAACTAGAAAAAACACCTACATTTTCACAAAAAAGATTTTTAAAAAAAAATATAGTTTGGGTTTTAGTAAAAAAAAAAACCTGAAACTGTCAATAATGTTTTCTTCCTGATCACCGTGGCTCTTCAGTTTCTACTCAGAGTGTATGTTATGCTGTCCTCATGTGTATATGTATGTGTGTGTGTGTGTGTGTGTAAGTGGATTATCTCTCATAGTTTTACTCTGCTGACTGGCAAAGATAAGCAGCTGCCCTTCCATTTTTTTCTTGATCGATATCTGAAAATGAGAGGCGAATCGAATTAACCTCTCTTCACTCTGAGACCTTGGCACTAGCTAAAAACCACCTAGCACACACACACACACACACACACACACACACACATGCTTCCCGTCATTTAGCGGAGGGACTTAGCCGCTTAGTGCTCAGGCGTGATGGAGAGGGCAGGGCTGCAGCGAGGGAGAAAAAGAAAATCAGATAAATTGAGAGAGAACAAAAAAAACAGAGAAATGGACAGGAAAAGTCACAAAATACAGGAAGATTAAAAGAAAAATTATTATAATTATTATTATTATTATTATTAACAGTATCAACAGCAATAAAATCAGAAAAACAGATTTTTAAATAGATTTAAAGATTACAATGAGAGACATAGAGAGATTTTATTTTTTTTAAAAAAACATTATGGCATCAGTTTATTCTATAACTTGTTTTTAATTAAGTAATGCATTAGTAACTATTAGGGCACAATAATTTTATGTGTCACTCTGATTTTAATTTAGACATTTCTAGACATTTCCACAAAAGTTTTTATCCATGCTTTCTTACTAAATGCATAATTTTCATGTTTTTTTATGCTTCCATTTAAACTAAAACAGACGAGTGGCTGCTTTTTTCTCTCCAAGTGCCTGGTGGTTACCTTAAAACCCTGTATACACACACACACACACACACACACAGACACACACACACACACACACATATATACACACTTCATTTTCTCATTTTCTACCTTACACAAGGGATTAGTGAAAAGACTACATCGAAAATGCCCATAAATCTCACACTAATAGAATAATAATCACTTATACTTTGGTGATTATAGTAACCAAAAAAGGAAAAAAAAAACAGGCAGAGCTTCATGTTTTATTTAATCAGCGCTGGTTTGTACAGGACGTGTTTTTTTTTTTTTTTTTTTTTTTAACCTCCACTCTGGTCCATCAGCGTTTCCATTTAGTGTTGATTTATTCACCACTTTAACACAACATTTCCACAAAGCCATTCTCTCTGCCGCGTCTAAATTTAAGTCCCGAAGCTCGCTCCGATCCAATAATGGATTGTCGGTGCAGAGACACACGGCGTCAGGTTAAAGCCCATTGCACATTTATCTGCTACACTCAAGCATGCAAGTTTAATCAATGCTGCTCCAACAACAAAACATCAGAGGATTTTCTTTTCTTTTCGGCTTTCACAGCTTGACTAGTCGCCATATTTATTCACAAATCCATGTGAGGAAAAGCCGAGCCGTATCGAGCCGTAACCCCTCCACCCTCAGCTGCAAAGTAATTCTGTGCCTGTCAGGAATTTTTCAATAAACTGGTAAACCAGACCTCGTAAACACCCTTTTAGTGGATCTCAGTGGGTTCTTTGCTAAAAAAAAAAAAAAACTCCGCCATGGTGGGCTCTAACTGAGAGACCAATCACAGATGAATCATTAGCACAGATTTGCATCCAACTGTGGACAAATTTCCATCATGCTAATCTGGATAGCTGCTCAACCTTTCCGCATTCTCATCACCAAGATGTACTCGGGCACTCTTACGGGTTCTTCAGCTGTCTGTTAAAGGTTCTATGTAGAACTCCACAATTCAGAAAGGTTTCCAGGGTTCATGCATGGACACTTTTTCCCTCAGGAATTTTCCAGTAAAATGGAAAACCAGACTTTAGCCTTGTTTCTTTATTGGTAACCAACACCGTAGTAGATCTCAGTGGGTTCTATCCCAAAAAAAACTTCATCAAGGTGGGCTCTAACTGAGGGAGAAACTCTCTAGGGGTTCTTTGATTCTAAGAAGAACCCTACAACAGTGTTTCCCAAGTAGAACACTTTTAGAAAGCTAAGAACCCTTAATTATCCAATGATCCCTTCAAGAATCCTTAAAGAACCCTTTTGGGTTATAAGACTAGAACTAATCATCTTAAACATCTGACAGGTTCTAGATATTAAGCAGAAGATAATACCATTTTTTCCAGCTGGAAGAGAGTGAAAAAGCTGCAATAGAGAGCAAGTGCATGTTTTTTTATTTCCATTTCTAGGAAGCTAAGAACCTTTAATTACTCAATAAACCCTTAAAGAACCCTTAAAGAACGTTTTTTTGTATGTACGTACAAGACAGTTTAGCTAAATGTTAACTGCCTGACAGGTTCTAATTACTAACAAGACAATAATTACACCTTGTTCTGGAGCTCTACGTAGAACCGTTAAGTGTTTCCCCAAGATCTACAAACCGAAGAACCGAAGAATGGTTGTTCAGTTGTACTTCTGAGGGGATTCCTTAAACAGAGTGTATCTCAATCAGAAAAGTGTTCCAACTAGAACACTGTAAGGATTATAAGCCAAGAACCCTTATTTATCCAATGAACCTTTAAAGAACCCTTGAAAAAAACCTTTTTTTCTGAATGTTCCAAATAGCAAGAACTAAATATTGAAAAGTTCTAGGTATTAAGAAGAAAATAACTGCAATAATTTGGAATCTGCACTGTACACGTACCCGGTTAATACTACGGAGCCCCTAAGGGGACATGGTGATGGAAAAAATATGAGATGGGAGGAACATTTATATTTCAATGCTTTTGCGTTCACTCGTTTGGGTTTCCCCAAGAAACTTTCCGTTTGCTTGCATTTTTTTGCGTTCTCACGCAATTTTTTGCGTTCTCTCGCAAAACTTTTGCGTTTTCCAGTCTTTGAGTTTGTAGAAACAGTACTTCAGGTGCTCTGGAGAATTCAGTTCCCCTGTTTCCCCTTCAGCGTGCATGTGCGAAATCATGACGTTTTCTCCCGTTGCTGCGTTGAGCAACTAGTGTATGCTTTACCATCGCATGTGTTAGTTTATAGCGTTATTATTTTTCTTTTCATCAGCATAAGGTCAATTTCACATTGTTTGTTAGATAGCTTGCAATTAAATACATACTACAAAGTATAGAATGTATCGGTGTCAGAGGTTTTATTACTCAATTGTTAGTCAGATAGAATTCTAATGATCCCTTAGAAGGGCGCTATACAAATAAAACTTCTTCTTCTTCTTCTTCTTCTTCTTCTATAATTCTAGCTTTCGCCCTGTTAATATATCCCAATTAGAACTGTAATTGCATAGTTCTTCAGGGGAATTCTCTTGTTCAGACAGTAGTTTATATTTTTGTGTGTGTGTGTCTCATTTTTGTCACACAACCTGAAGTTTTGTTGCAGACAAAATTAACTATATTGCACAGCACAATAAGTAGTCTGTGTTACTATTTTAGGTTACTCATCTCAGTTACACACCAGGCTTTTCTGCACCTAGAAAAGTGGTTTCATTCAGCAAGTTTCATACTTCATTCCTTCACACTAGACTGCACAGAGAACTGGATTACCTGGTATTGGTGGAAAGGAGGTTTCCCACAAAAATTACAATATATTACAATTGAAATAGCTTTGAAATACTACAGTGATTATGGTAATCTCTCTCTCTCTCTCTCTCTCTCTCTCTCTTCTCTGAACTCCACAAGTTTCATCCATATGCTTTTATATTTAAGAAACAGGGGAAACGGATTACACTGTCACCCTTGGAGATTAGTTTTCCCAGTATATTCCAACTAGTGTGCGATTAAAATAGTACAGCGATGCTAGTACAGCAAACCCACAGAGCATTCGTTTCCACTGAGAACACAGGGGGGAACAGATTTATTTTTAAAGTGGTCCCCTTGTATATTATAGAGTGAGGATTTATAACACAGTACGGTGATGCTTGTGATGTATTTTACAGTCATCATTATGTATAACTAGTTATTACAGGATTGTTAACTCACAGCAGCTCATGTTTTTTTAGGGTCCAAGCACCAAGTCTGCAAAGGACTCACTTGTTTTGACCTGATTGTTATTTTTCAACATTTATGAGATGCTCAGGATGCCCACAAAACCTGGCACAAACATCAGAAATGGTGGTCCTCAGGTTCTGGCAAAAGCTTGGATCCAGGTGTGGCCCGGGGGACTCAATAGCGCCCCTGTGTGATATTTTTCTTCATCGACATGCACCAAATTTGGTAGATATACGGTTCTCTTTAAGACACACACATTTCACATTCATATCCATTAATTCTGTTCAACAGGAAGTCGGCCATTTTGGTTTTTTTGTGCATTTTGAGAAGTATCAAGCTTTTAAATACTCCTCCTAGCAGATTCATCAGATTCAAACCAACTTTGATGTCAGGTTGTTCAATTGATGCTAAATTGTGAAAGAATTTATGATAGCTTAAATGGTGAAGGGAAGTGGTAGCTCAGTGGTTAAGATGTTGGACTTCTGATTAGAAGGTTTAGCGTTCAAATCCCAGCACCATCAAGCTGCCACTGCTGGGCCCTTGAGCAAGGCCCTTAACCCTCAACTGGTCAGTTGTATAAATGAGATAATTATAAGTCTCTCTGGATAAGGGTGTCTGCCAAATGCCATAAATGTAAATGTGTTGCCATGGTGATGCAATCAATTCACATGTTACAAACAGGAAGTGTGGCATAATTCAACTTTTTAGGTTTAGTGAATTAAAATAAAATATTCATTTTTGCACACAATTCCTGAAGAGGCTTTCGGGCTGCTATAGATCATATTGTTAGTACAATTGAATCGTTCCTGTCCTCTACAGACCCTGTGAGTACACCAGCTTGGATTTTTTTTTTTTATTATTGAGTTTAGCTTTTCAGATGTATATGTTTAGGAGTGTAGCAGTGTATTCTTAAAATGATATAAACCTTAAGCAGATCCCAAAAAGCTGATGAGCTTACCAAAGGGGTCTAGAGAATAAAGACTGCTATTAAAGTCCTGAAAAACCAGAGAGGTCCTTAAGGTAAATGCACATTTTGGATAATACGATGGACCTGCTGGGTAAAAGACAGGAACTTCCTTTAGCCAGAATTTTGAAGAGAAGCACCACATAAGAGACTTGCCAGTTTTTAATTTCCTGTAACTCACTTTTATTGGGCTGCAGGATGAAAAAAAGAAAAAGAAAAATCCCCTCAAAGGTGGAGAACCATCATCCAAGCTGTAATTAAGTACAGCCAACACATCCTCGTCCAGCGCTGTGCAAAAGTGTTTTTTTTTTTTTTTTAATGAACTCTGCCGGGAGTCCAGCGTTACCTGGGGCTTTGGCGCAACAACAGAAGAAGCAGCAGTGAGGAGTTTCTGCTCAGATGCAGATTCTTCTTGGAGAGACAACAATATTTATCCAGAGAGCTGTTCTTTTGGACGTGAGAACCTCAGTATATTTTTGATCTCTCAATCTTGTGTGCTTTGCTGTCTTCACACTGAAAAACCTGGTAGTGTATTTATTATAAAACACCCACTAAAGCCAACAGTGACAGTATACTAATCAATAATACTCATAAGTAAAGTATACTTGAAGAGAAGTAGTAGTAGGAAAGTATTTATTGGTTCTTGGATGTACTTGATAACACAGTCATAAAACATAAAACGTCTTTTTTAATCATACAAAATATTCCGTTCTACATCATATTCACTCCCCATGAAAGTATTCATTAAGCATCTATGTGAGGAAGTTTTAATCTCCTGATTTCACACACTTAAATTGTTATTTTATTTTATTTATTTTTAATTGTAACACTTCACCCACATTTACTCATCTTTAAATGTCTTAAATTATGGCCCACTCCTTTTACCTCTTTCATATTAACTTCAATATAATTGAAATAAAATATGGATATATTAAATAAATAATATTACAAAATTAAAAATTAAATTAAATAAAAATAGATTAATATATTTGGGTTTTTATTACATATTTGTATTTAATTACTTAAATGTTTTTTTTACCCATTTTTCCTGTGTGTATCTGTATTTTCCACCATGTCCACACGTGGTACCTTCCAATTTCTTTATTAAAACCCTATTGTAACATTATACAATATATTGAAAATTAATAAAACACATTAAATACATGTCCTACTTAAAACATCTTGGATAAATTCTCTTTTCTTCATGAATTATTAATTTTAATTTAGCTGTGTTAGGATTATGTGATCATCCACTTTAGTTGTCTTCCGTGGTCTTCCAGGCCTTTCGATGTTGTTGAGCTCACCAGTGCTTTCTTTCTTTTTAAGAATGTACCCAACTGTTGATTTGGCTGTCAGTATGTTGTACTTTAATATTATGGTTTAATAAATTAAACCCCACCCACTTTGACATCACTGACGAGCATTTCAACGTGCTAAGCTGATGACGAGCAGCTCCTAACACTGCTAGTCTTTTTCTTTTTTAAAATTTTATTACAAGAGTTTACAGGTTTTACCATTCCACACAGGAAGTCTAAAAATTAAAAATGACGTTTCATATTTATAGCTATTTAAAAAATATCTTCAACATCAAACATTATTCCACCATAATGAATGATTTTGCTAATATTAGAGCTAATCTTGGTTAAATGTTACCCCAGCTACAAGGACCTTAATCATTTTACATGCATATGTGTGTATACATACATATATATATATATATATATATATATATATATATATATATATATATATACATTATAAATCAAGAGTGAACTGTTGGACAGAGTCACTTTATCTCAATTTGATTTTATTTTTCGTCACAAAATAAGAGGAAACATTTGTTAAAATGTCACTATGGTTTTTTTTTTTTTTTTACGGGTGACACATAAACCAATCAAATTTATCCATTTTCATCAGAGATACACTTTTCCTCCCTTTCTATGCACACACACAAACCTCACATTTTAATTCAGTTCTCTCTGAATACATCACACACACACACACACACACACACACACACACACACACACATGCTGTGTGTCTCCATTAGCTGCAGAAGTGTGTGATGAAATATGAGTCTCTGTGTTGTTTCTGTCACTTTATATGAAATTGAAATCACCCGTCAGAAAAGATGTACTTCAAACTCTCCAGATCTGCAGAGCCGAATTTTTACGCTTTTTCAGAAAACAAACTCCAGCAGCACCACACGCTGAAGCGTAACCATTTATAAAAACAAGAACAACCCATCTGCAAGTCTCTTACAGAGAACCCTGATGCGTCTCTGCAGGTCTGGGGTAAATATTTCTAAAGAAAAATGATCATGGATCTCAAATCTATACACGCTGCACACCAAATACTCCACACATCTATTGTAAATACACGGCATATGGGACGGCACACTCATTAAACCGCTTCTGCTGAAACAACCCCATCACTCTGTCTGCTCGGAGACGCAGCAGAAATCAACGTCACGGAGTAAAACTCCAGGGTTCTTCTTACAGCGATAACCAAAAGAAAAAAAAAAACCCAAAACAAAACAAAAAAATTCTGATGAATTGGAAATGAAAGAACACTCAGTCTCACACACTGGGAAAGTGTAATAATCAACTACATAGCAATCTGCCTCGATCAAAAAACATAAAAAAAAAATGCTGATTCAAGTGGCTTATGAGGGAAAACTGAAATGGGTCCGAATCTCAATGCAAAAAACGCTTGCTATGACTACTACCAGTTCATTCAAGAAGGTAAGTTTACTTCTTTTGGGAAATGTCAGCTTATTGACGCTTAATCAACACTTTTGTAGTCGGCCCCTATATAGATGCACCTAGGAATTACTATAAGTGGTCAAACCTTTTCTATTACTCTGCTGTCAGAATCATTCATGAGCTAAATTTGAACACTTTATACGGTTTTATACACTTGAATACATTCGAATTGAATTAATTGAACTGTATTTATTCCTACCTTTTAGCTTCTGCCAAGTCCAACCTGCCAAATGGAACCAGTGCGGTCCTGAAAGACTCTGCAGGAGTTGATGTAGATTCAGATATTTTTGACAAGTTAGTGAGATCATCAAATATGTCTTTCCAAATTTTTGATGATGATAAGTCTGGTAAGAAATCCAAACAACCTGCTGTCATGTTTTATGTGAAATACATTCAAGGTTGTATTCTGAAATGTTTTAATGTTTGTACTGTCTTGTTCAGTGCACTACATTTTTTTTATTTCCAATATAATGTTCTCTCAGCGAAGAAGGTATGCAGAGCACAGCTGTTTGAAGGACCTCTGCACTGTAATGTGTCAAGAGATGTACGTTTTTTTTTCTCTTGTGTAGGTTGTGCATAGAATGATCACATTTTAAGGCTATGAAGCAGGTTTCTTTGCATTATATTACAGCTGGTTTATGCAGCTTGGCAATCAAAACCAGGTATATTGAAAGAGTACAGCCAAACACGAAGGAAGCTGGTCAACATCCTTGTCGCGAACATGGTAGACAGTTATGGATAAATAATCAATAAAATAATCTACGGTCTAGTTCATAAAATAAAACATCCACCAGTTGTTAAATTCCTGGTCAATTTTTATCCTAGTCAATTGTAATTTTTAACTATTTTTATCATGAATTTCAACTAATACAGTTAGATCCGGAAGTATTTGGACAATGACAGAGTTTTTGTGATTTTGCCTTTATACAGCACCACAATGGATTTGAAATAAAACAATAAGGATGTGATCGAAGTGTAGACTTTCAGCTTTATTTTAAGAGGTTCCACAAAAATATGGCATTTACCATTTAGGAACTACAGCCACTTTAAGCAAAGTACCTCCATTTTCAGGGGCTCAAAGGTATTTGGACAATTGACTGACAAGAAGTTAATTGACCAGGTGCGGTACATTCCCTCATTACTTCAAGACAAATGAAGCAGATAAAAGGTCTGGAGTTGATATCAGGTATTGAGTTGGCATTTGGCAGTTGTTCGACTAGAGCTACCAATATGAAGTCCAAGGAGATCTCAATGCAAGTGAAGGAGGCCATCATTAGGCTGAAAAAACAACATAAATCTATAAGAGAGATAGCAAAAACCTTAGATGTGGCCAAATAAACAGTTGGGTACATTCTTAAAAAGAAAGCAAGCACTGGTTAGCTCAACAACATCGAAAGGCCTGGAAGACCACGGAAGACAACTAAAGTGGATGATCACAGAATCCTTTCCTTGGTGAAGAAAAACCCCTTCAAAACATCAACAGAAGTTAAGAATACTCTGGAGAAGGCAGGCGTATCATTGTCAAAATCTACAATCAAGAGACGCCTTCATGAATGTAAATACAGAGGGTTTACAGCAAGGTGCAAACCACTGGTAACATTCAAGAACAGGAAAGCCAGATTAGACATTGGCAGAAAACATCTAAAAAAGCCTCCAATGTTCTGGAATAAGATTCTTTAGACTGATGAAACCAAGATTAACTTATATTTACAATTATGTCACTTTGTCCAAATACCTTTGAGCCCCTGAAAATGGAGGTACTTTGCTGAAAATGGCTGTAATTCCTAAATGG